CATGGAGCCTTACACAAAATAAAAAGAAAAAGAAAAAAAAATCCTAAGGGACTAATCTACTTTAGGAGCTGCATCTTCGGGAGCCACATCTTCAAGAACCTCCTCCTCGGGGGCTTCATCCTGATCTCCTCCGCTCTCGGAACCACTAGCAGAGTCTTCGTCATCGGAGAGTAGAGCGGCAGCCTCGTCCTCCAAAGCTTTTGCCTTTTTAATATTAGCTGAGAGGTCAAAGCCACGAGCATGCACTTCCTCAAGAGTCTCTCTCCGGGATTGTTGCTTGGCGTGGTCGACAACACATGACAATTTGACTTCAGTAGCAGTAGAGATCTCTTGTGCCCGAATGTTGGCAGCCTCGGCGTCAGCTCGATAAGAGGCCACAAATGCCTCCGGCTTAAGATTTAGCCTTCGCAAGTTCGACGGCCGACTTAGCTTCGAGCTCCTCAATATTCTGGCTTCGGGCCAAGCTTTCCACCTTCACGTTTTGAAGTTGAGATTCGGCCGAAGTCAGCTGGGCCCGAAACGTTTCCTTATTCGAAGCGAGACGATCCATATGCTGCTTCCACCCCAGGGTCTTGGCCTCTTTCACCTTGAGCTCCTCTCGAAGCTGCTCCACCAGCTCGCCCTTTTGCTGGGCCTGCAAAGTCGAAGTGTTAGTCGCTAAGTCAGATAAACACATAACAAACTCCCAAAAGGTTACATTACCTGCTCAATGAGCTCGGTCTGTTCTCGATGTGCCTTCATCAAGTCGGCTCGAAGGCCCGTAATCTCCTCCTCTTTTTAAACATAGAGGAGTTTGAGGCTGTCCCTCTCTTCCACGAGCTTCTTGATTTCAGCCTCGCATCGGGCGAGCTTAGCTCGAGACTTGGATAAAGCTTGTCGATGGAGCATCACAACCTTTGCACAAAGAAAGAAAGTCAGACTCAGAAGAAAGAGAATAAAGCACGAACATAATTATGGAGGCAGAAAACTTACTTGTTTAAGAAGACGATGAGCCTCGTAAAAAATAAATGAAGCATCCGGGTCGGGACCATCTTCGACCCCCACAAAGCATTCTCGAAAAATATCATTCCCTTCGTGGGTCGTCCTCACGTCGGGGAGTCTTTATGGACCGGGCATCTTGGAACTGCCCTTCTGAGAAAACAGGGCCAGACGGCGATTCATCAATGTTAACTATCCCAAGTGATTCACTTGGGACATTCTCTTCTCTTTGGAGGGCCTCGGAATTAGGCTCTACGGGCTCGCTCGCCAGATTTCCTCTAAGACGAGGTGCGCTTTTGCCGCCCGATGGCTCGAGGACTCTGCTCAAGCTCCCCTCCGAGATTTCTTTGGTTCGAGATTGAACTGCATCAGCCACCGCCGGTTCTGTGGCCTTCGAAGCTTCAGTGCTCCCCCTCTTCCGAGCTACCAGCAAGCAATCGTCATCCTCTCCTTCTTCCTCATCATCCGAAAGGTGTTGGACTGCTTCTGCAGATAGGGCTATAGGTTCGGCCCTAGTCTTTCAAGCCTTAGTTTTCTTGGGCTTCGGGGACTTGCTGGCGAAGTCTTTTTCCTTTTCTTCTCCTTGGTTGGCTTTGGGGTTCCTCTTCACCGGGCGGGGGCAGCCTCATAACAACAGTGTCTCTGAGGTCTGTGTAAGGGAAAAGTAAGTATTTTACAGAGAAACGTCAACATATAAACAAGGGAACGCACCATGGTTTTTAGCTTCCCTCCGATCCTTGGCCAAATCCTGCCAACAGCGTTCTGCATGTGAAGAAGTGGAGGCCAGTTGTCAAACCCAACCTACGAGGTCTGGAATCACGCCAGGAAACCAAGGGGAATCCGCACCATCAAAAAGGAATTAGATCGAGGAAGAATAGAGAACGCAAAGCAGTAAACATCATCGATAGGTTTGTACTTACGTTTCATGTTGCATTCCTCGGGGAATGGCATCCTTTCGGCAGGAATTAAGTCGGAGGTCTTGATTCGAACAAACCGGCCCATCCATCCTCGGTCCTTGTCCTCATCGTTACTAGAGAATAGCACCTTCGAAGATCGACGCTGGAGCTTTATCAAACCATCTCGATAGAGGCGAGGCTGTATAGCCTGATCAGGTGATCGAGTGTAAAAGACATCCCCTTGACCTTGCCCGAGAAGTACCTGAGCAAATTAACGATGCGCCAGAAAGAAGGGTAGATCCGGCCAAGGGTCACCCGATATTGGTTACAGAAATCGAGAATGATTGGATCTACAAGACCTAGTGCTGGATCTACAGGACCCAGTGTGAAAGGATAAGTATACACGCTTGAGTATCCTTCCACATGAGTACTGATGTCCTATTCGGGGGAAGGAATCACCACCTCCTTATCCCCCCAATTACAATCCTTTTTCACCTACTCGAGATCATCTTCAGTTATTGAGCAGAAGTATCGGGACATGGGTTCGCAGAGGCCTGGGACTGATGCATGCTTATCGATTTTGAAATCGGAAGATAACTCGCATGGCCCAGGAATACACTCCTCGATAGGAGGTGGCACCGTTATTCTACCACCGGCCGAGTGCGATGACGAGGAGGCTTTTCCTCTCTGAGGAACGACTTTAGATGTTTTAGCCATTGCTGTTGAGAAACTCAAAAGAAAAGAAGAAGTTGATGTTGTTGAAGAAAGAATGGGATTAGAGAAGATGAAGAAGCTAGTAAGGTTTTGGGAAAGGTTTGAGAAATAAAGATTGAAAAAGTTGTGAAATTGACCTATTTATAGTGGCCGCTTCAACAATTTGGGGAAGCTAATGGCCGACCATCAGCCGCCTTCAATTAATGACCCTGGGAACTATGCAGACGCGACCTTTGAATCACTTCTGTCGCTGACGTCACAAGATTAACATCACGATCGATGCATCAGAGGATCGAGGATCAAATCGTTTCTTATCATCTTATTCTAAGAAACGCGAGGACTATCTGTATACGGTCGAAATCAGGTATGTCCGATTTTATGGGCTCGAGGGTCACTTCGAGAGCGAGATCGAAATAGACCAGGCGCGAGCCCGATGGAAAAGTACAAGCTTCGAAGATCGAAGTGCTCGATGAACACCGAGGACAAGTATGACCGACCTCGAGATAATACCGTTATGGTTCCATAACAGAAAGAGCGAGATTCCGCAATGGCCCTAAGATTACGGCGTAAATTTCGCAACGGATTTGTACTAGGCGGTTAGATAATTGTATAATAACAGTCCTTACTACAATTGGAAGTGTACCTTATTTAGGATTCCTGTACTATATAAAGGGGACCCCAATCATTTGTAACGCATCAATCATTGAGAAGAGAATATACATTTTCACTTTCTTGCTTACTGCTCATCAGAATTGTCTTTTAGCTTTATTGTTCTTACTGACCTACCTCGAGGCCACCTTAGCTCGGGATAAAGACTGGCTTGTTCACTGGGTTGATTCAACTTATTTATTTAACTTATATGTTTGATTCTTTGATTATCAGTTGGTATTGAACTAAATCACATATCTTTAAAATCACAATAAAAGTTTAATTGTTACTCGAATTTTAGGGTAAACATATTTATTTTCGAACCCGATTATTAAAGCCATCAATTTAAAATATAAAAAGCGTATGACCATATATCTCAAATGAGAGAGAGAGAGAGAGGAGAAAACCATGTGATATAGGTAAAAAACATCTTTTCTTGGTCTAGTGAAAATACTAGTACAACATATAAGGTAGAAATTTAGGGGTGTCCATGGTTCGGTTCGGTCGGTTATTTTATAAATTTTGTACCATACCAATTTTTCGGTTATTCTATTATGTATAATCACAATTAGACTTTTCGAAATCGTCCAATAATATCGGTTTCTCTTCGGTATCGGTACGGTTCGGTAAATTTTCGGTAATTTTTTAAATGTCATGTAAAAGTCACTAGTAGAAGTAGAATGCAATACTTTTATATGACTTAGCAAAACTCTCTAAGATATTTTTACAGTTTAAAATGTGATTAATTAAGAAAATATGAAAGATGGCTAGAGTATAGATCCATCAAATATTATACAGCGGCGTAAACGAAACTAAGAAAATACAAAAAAAATATAAATCACACGAGTGGAAAGATGTTAACCAAGTTGGGATCCAACAATAAAGTCTATAGAAGATTAAACATTTCAAAAAGATCAATCTAATTCATACGAAAGTAAATATATTCAATACATTGTAGGTTGCTACTCCTAATCGCTACAATACCTTGTGCTTTGCTAGTGAATATGCTGGAAATAATTTAGTTTCAATAGAAGTAGCATGATAGGTTTGAGGATTAGGATTGAGTTTAATTACTTATTGTCTTGTACTATTTCATAATTCCAAGGCCCAAGAAAAAATTAATGCTTTATTATTTTTAAACTTAACATATAAATATATTTTTTACATTGTAAAATATATTCGGTACGGTTCGGTATTTTTTCGATTTATTTTTATAAAATAAAAAACCTACCCTAATTACCGGTACGGTTATAGATTTATATAAAAACCTACGGTTTTATTAAAAGAAACCTAAAAATCGGTTCGGTACGGTACGATTCGGTCAATTTAGTCGGTTTTTAAATATCCATTGACACCCCTAGGCAGAATAATCCTATTATCGAAATAATCATGTCGGTCGAAATGTGTTGCATTGATGAAATTAAGGAAGCTTGATTTGATCAGATGAACTTTCGAAGAAAGTGGCAGGCCGAATAAGAGATTACCATAAAGTAAATATATGGGAAAAATTAAACAAATACATACGATTTTAATTTGTAGACCATTGACTAAGCTATTTATGATGACGTGATTATATATACTCCTGTTAATTTTTTTCCCTCGATGAAAAAAGTCAAAAGAATCTTTTCTCTTGCTTATTTGTACCGGCCATTAACATCATAATAAACATTTTGGAGAAACAAAAAACAAATTGGAGAGCAATAAATTCGCATAGATTCATAACAATAGGCGAGCAAATGGAATACTACTATTATTGCATGAAAGTAAAAGAGAGAAAAGCATTCTTTTATTGAGATTACAAAAAGATATGGAACAAACAAAACAGACTAAACTAGAAGGCAAACTCACCCTCTTATTAACAGAACAACATCAATCAACATGTCCACCCCAACAAACAAACGAAAATAGAACTTCTATTTCCTGGGTGCAAATCTTGACTTAATCTGCTGAACTTGCATAGTACTAATTTGAAATGCTTGACCCAAGACATCATCAGGAACACTTGGTGAAGCTGCAAACAACGTTGTTGCAATGGACTGTGTACCAGGCAACTGACTATTGAAACCAGCAATAACAGCTGCTGGAACTTTGCCATTATTCTTTTGGAAATGAACAAGTCCTCTAGGAAAAGCAAATACTTCTCCCTGTACAATGACCTTAGAGACCAAGACATTGGCTGTTGTGATAAAGCCAACATATAGTTGACCAGATAAAACATAAACCATCTCGGTGGCGCGTGGGTGGACGTGGGGTGGGTTAATGCCACCGGGGGCGTAGTCGATACGAGCAAGGGACACACCAAGTGTGTTAAGGCCAGGGATACTCTGAACATTGGCACCAGTGACCAGGGAACCAAATGTGTTGGTGGGGGCTCCTGGCTTTGAAATGACCATTGACGAGAAGTCAGCCTCTGTGAACATGGTCTTGCATGCAAATCCATTCACTTTCGTGGCTGTTACAAATATGCAAACACAAGGGGTCATTTAGTAGCCATATAAACACAAAATAGAAAGGATTAGATTATATACACCAATAATGTTAGGCGCGATTATAATATTAGTGTAATTTAACATATTGGTTTTATTTTGCTTGCATTAGGAAACATCATGATTTAGGATAAGTGGAATATAATATACTAGTAATAGAAAATATGTAGGTATAAAGAAAGAGGGAATTTAGAATTATTAGATCACGGAGGAAAGTCAGTGTCAAGGGGTAGGGCAAAAGCGAGAAGTAGTACATAAACATGATAAAAGAACAAAAAGAACAATAACAACAAAAAGCTCAGTATAATCTCGTGGGTGGGGTCTGAAGGTAGTATGTACACAGACTTTACGTCCTATCTTGAAAAAATAGAGAGACTGTTTTTAGAAGATCCTCGGCTCAAGGAAAGATTAAAAAAAATATTTAAAAAAAAGAAGAAGAATGCACTCATGCTGTTCCCAAGAGTCTTGCTTTCCTGAGTTTCAATATTTTCAAACAACCATAGGTTCATAGGAAAAAAAATGTAAAAGTTAGTTTGTCCAATATTGGAGTAGTTCACTTACTTGAGGTGAGATCAGCAACACAAATATCCTGGAGCATATCAGGGTCTCCAGCACAAGCTTTATTTGAGTTGATGGCTAATAATGCCACAGTTATCGCAATTAACGAAAGCATCTTACCAAAAGCAGCCATTTTGGATTGGACGAAGCAAGTTATAAACAGGGAAACTAAAGGGAAACAAATAGAAGAGGAGAAGATTCAATGTTGTGTTTTTTAATGGATAATGAGAAACTAGGGTGTTTATTTATAGGGAAAACAAGAAAAGCTTTAGGTGAGAATTCATGGCTGACCAAATCAAAGTGATGTACTTGGGAATTTGGTTGACATGAGATAATTTGTGTGTAAGAGCACGAAACATGCCGTTTGCTAATTCTTAATTTGACCACCATTCAATAGGCATCTCGTCTCCATTTGGTGACTTGAGGTAAGTTTTTTTGTTTCCCGCCCGGTGTTTGGTATCCGTATTGAAACCCTATTATATACGGATTCGCGTCGCGTAGGGCCCCATTCCGAGAGCGCTCCCTACCAAGGATAAGGATTTTTTCGTACCCAGGGCTGACTTGCATTAATCGAATTTTTATCAGGTTTTGTCCATTGTGTTGTTAGTTAATTTCTATAAGAAAATCAACTCCTTTACTAAATTAAAGAATATAAATGGAAAAAAGAAATAGTCTCCATTTTATCACAATTTGACATGTTCGAACAAGCTTGATGCACCATTTGACTTGCACAGAAAAGGGTACTATAATTTAACAACGTGAATATGTTTAAGAGCTCATAGTTAGAATAAGGTCTAGTTGGCAACTACCTAAAAGAAGGGAAAGGAAACATAAAAAGAAAAAGAAAGAACCTTAATAAGTTATTACTAAATTAAAAAGTTTTCCAAAGGTATTTGAGTTTTGAATGTTCACATCACTCATCAAAGAATTATGTTCGTTTATTACCGAGGATATACTTCCATCTTTAAGGAAAGTTAACAAGCAAGATAATCTGAAATGGTCCATTAATTATTAAGAGAGAGGAATTGAATGAAGGATACATAGCAAGTAGGTAGAGAATATTTCTTGAACATGTATCTTGGATGCTGTCCCGATTAAAATATATTAGCAGTTTTGTAAATTATAATATAGCTCTTTAATTTTGACACCAAATAAATGGTGCGTAATTCACCCGATAAAAAAGATATTATTGGAATAGCAGAATTATATTTTCAGAGACTTGTTCTTTTTTAAATTTAAGATAGAGTTGGAACGTGAAAATAAGAGGTACATAGTATAACTAATCATGATATATCATATATATTGCCTATATCACGGTGGTCTTGATATAAAACAATAAAGAAATTGAGACACACACACATACATACACACACACACACACACACACACACATATATATATATATATATATATATATATATATATATATATATATATACCGGGTTAGTTGGTTCCGGTCCGGAATGATTTTGAAGTGAATTGAGATAGTCTCTTATGTTAAGGTTAAGTTGGAAAAGTTAACCGGATGTTGACTTATGTGTAAACGATCTCGAATTTGAATTTTGATGGTCCCGTTAGCTCCGTTAGGTGATTTTGGACTTAGAAGTGCGTCCGTAATGTGATTTGGAGGCCCGTGGTAGAATTATGCTTGAATTGGCGAAAGTTAGAATTTTGGCGATTTTGGTCGGCAGCGGAAATTTTGATATCGGGGTCGGAATGAAATTCCGGAAGTTGGAGTAGGTTCGTGGTGTCATTTTTGACTTGTGTGCAAAATTTGAGGTCATTCGGATGTGGTTTGGTGGGTTTCGGCATTGTTTTTGGAATTCAGAAGTTTAAAAGTTCTTAGGCTTGAATCCGAGTGTAATTTGGTGTTTTGATGTTGTTTTGAGTGATTCGAAGGTTCGACTAAGTTCTATGATGTTATGGGACGTGTTGGTATGTTTGGTTGAGGTCCCGAGAGCCTCGGGTGAGTTTCGGATGGTTAATAGAGCATTTTTGGCCTGAAGAGACTGCTGATATCTGCTGATGAATTCTTCTAGTTTTCTCTTTCGCGTTTGCGAGTGGACCCTCGCGTTCACGAAGAGTGATTTCTAAGTGGTGAGGGTTTGTTCTTCGCACTCGCGAAGGGGAGGACACGAACGCGAAGGTGTGGTCAACGTGTGGATCGCGAACGCGGGAGAAGGGTCGCCTTCGCGAAGAGGAGTGAGGCAGTTGGGGACCCCAAGTCCTTGTTCTACGCGTTCGCGAGGTGGTGGTCGCGTTCACGAAGGTTGAGGCTAGTAAGGCATCCCGTTCGTGAGGCGTGTGTCGCGTTCATGAAGAATAAAGTGAGGAGGCAGTGAAGTTCTTCTACGCGAACGCAAGAGGACGGTCACGTTTGCGAAGAAGGAAATCTGGGCAGGCAGTGTTATATTCAAAATCGAGGGTTTGAATCCATTTTTCATATTTTGAGTTAGAGACCACGAATTTGGCGATTTTTGAAGGGATTTTCAGGGAGTTGATTGGGGTAAGTGTTCTTCACTTGATTTTGGTTAAATCCATGATTATATCTTGATTTTTATCATCTAAATTGTGAATTGGGGTGAAAAATTAGGGGGAAAATGGAAGAGTTCTTCAGGTGGAATTTTGAGGTTTTGAAGGGGATTTTGTTGTCGGATGAGCAAATTTGGTATTGTTAGACTCGTGAGTGAATGGGCTTTCGGATTTTGTGACTTTTGTCGGATTCCGAGATGTGGGCCCGGGGGCCGGGTTTGAGCCAATTTCGGGTTTTGAGTCTAATTTAGTAGTTTTTCTTGTGGAATTGATTCCTTTAGCATATATTAATGGTATTGTTCTGCTTGTGGCTAGATTCGGGACATTGGAGGCCGATTCGAGAGGCAAGGGCATTGCAGAGTAGGGATTTGCTCGGATAGAGGTAAGTAACAGTTGTAAATCTGGTCCTGAGGGTATGAAACCCCGGATTTTGTGTCCTGTGACTATTTTGGAGGTGACACACGTGCTAGGTGACGAACGTCCGGGCTTGCACTGATAGGGATTGTGATTTTGTCCGTCCCGTAGAAATTATAAAGTTGAACAACTTGTTGTTCTATATGCTCCCTATGTGTTATAGAAAGATTGACTGTAAATCATGCTAGACACCATGTTTAGACCTTATGCCGGTATTGTTGGGACCCTTAGTGGTCGTTTCTTGCTGTCATCTCACTGTTTTATTGATATTCCCTACTCAGTCATGTTCATACATTTTTATATCATATCTCAGTCTCTTTTATTCTATTTGATGCATCATGTCATTGCTGTTTGGACTGATTATTTTGATTTCTGAGAGCCCGAGAGACTGGAGAGATTGATGACTGAGTGAGGCCGAGGGCCTGATTGTGAGGACATTTATGGGATCGGGCTGCACGCCGCAGCATGATTTATTGATTCTGCCATGATTGGCATTTATATAGCGCTTGGGCTGAAGGAGCCCTTCCGGAGCCTGTACACACCCCCAGTGAGTGCAGGTACCTACTGAGTGCGAGTGCCGAGTGCAGAGCGATTGTGAGGAATGAGTGGCTGTGAGGTTGGAGTGATTGGGAGGACTGAGTGATGATTGCCCGAGGGGCAGTATATGATTTCATCATTGATGCACATAGTTGCATTATATTCTTGCTTTGAGAACCGTTGAAAGATAATTTATCCGACTTTACTTGAATTTGACTTAAATAAATTGATTTGACTTAAACTCTGGATTGAAAGCATGCCTACACTTTACTGAACTTTATGAAACGAACTGTATTTGCATAGCTCGTCACTACTTCTCAGTTCCCTATTTATTTCTGTTACTGCATGAGTTGGTGTACTCACGTTACTCCCTGCGCCTCGTGTGCAGATCCAGGAGTAGTTGATCGTGGGGTTGTTGATAGTCCTCGCAGCAGATTTTGGAGATAACGAGGTAGCTGCCCGGCGTTCGCAACCTTGCTTTTCTTCTTGCCTACCTTCCTTTAGTTGTATTTGTGGATTCCAGACTATGTCGGTCTTATTATTGTCGGACTAGTTATGTTTAGATGCTCATGACTTAGTGACACCCCGATGTTTGGGGCTTTCCTTCCGCATTTCTATATTGAGTTTAACTCGTATTTCTTTTATGAAAATCCTGTTATAAAAATGGTTTTTGGCTTATCATTTGATGAATTATTGAAGTATTGTGAAAGTCGGTTGGCCTAGTACCATCCATAGGCGCCATCACGACAGGTTTAAGTTTAGGGTCGTGATAAGGTGGTATCAGATCCTAGGTTACATAGGTCTCACGAGTCATGAGCAGGTTTAGTAGAGTCTTGCGGATCGGTACGGAGACGTTTGTACTTATCTTCGAGAGGCTGCAAAACCCTTAGGAAACTTCACATTCTTGAATTCTTATCGTGCGAATCTGTTGATACTCTTAACTAAACTTCTGTTATTCTATTCTCTCACAGATGGTGAGGACACGTGCTACTGGGCAGGACGGACAGCCACCAGTGCCACCAGTCTGGGCCGCGAGAGGCCGAGGTCGCGGTCGTGGTAGGGGCAGGGGTGTAGCCCGCACACCAGCTAGGGTAGCACCTGCAAATCCCCTAGTTGCCCCACTTCAGGATCAGGTCCCAGTTGTGGATGCACCAGCGGGACCAACTCAGGCCCCAACTGTGCCCTTCGTGAGTCCAGGTCTTCAGGAGACCTTAGCTTAGATTCTGACCGTGTGCACCAGTCTTGCTCAGGCGGTCTCTGTTTCTACCGCAGCAGCCACTTCCCAAGCCGGGGGAGGCACTCAGACTCCCGCTGCCCCACACTAGAGCAGGTGGTACAGGGACTCCAGACACCGGGGGCACCACCAGCCCAGCCGGTTGCGCCTGCTCAGGACTATGTGGTTCCAGTCATGCCTGATCATGAGCAGCGTAGATTGGAGAGGTTTGGGAGACTTCAGCCTCCGACTTTCAGCGGTGCAGAGGGTGAGGATGCCCAGGGTTTCTTGGATAAGTGTCAGAGGATTCTCCGTACAACAGGTATTCTGGAGACCAGTGGGGTCTCATTCACTACCTTTCAGTTCTCTGGAGTTGCCTTCACTTGGTGGGAGGCCTATGAGAGGCGTAGGCCTGTTGGTGTAGTGCCTCTTACATGGTAGCAGTTCTCCGTTCTCTTCTCGGAGAAGTATGTGCCCAGTCATGCAGAGATGAGTTGCGCAGACAGTTTGAGTAGTTCCGTTAGGATGATATGACTGTGATGCAG